GTTACATTACTAGTTACGTTACTTTTTTCTCCATTAAATTGATTAAATCCCAGCATACACGCTCCCGATAAATATTTTTTATTAAAGCATTAACATTCACAGACTACTGTTATTTTTAACTAAAGCAAGCGGCTGCTGCGTGCATGGTTTGGCATGGCAGAATGTCAGCAAAGAGCGCTGCATTTATAATCTTTAAAAGACATCTCAGTTCATCGCAATCTAACAAATCTCTGTTATAACACAATAAATATATGCATAATGAATCTTTCATAATGTCTACAATTCGTGGGTTATAATGAGAGGATTCATGAGCACGCAAATTTCAGCACTGCATTGCTCAACCGTGCAAACACATGTTATAGCCTAAATAGAAACTCTGCATACGCTTGCACCTGTTAATCGTTTATATTTTATATTAGTTCATGTTGCTTTTGTGCAATAGATGAATAACAATTTATTTGTTTTAGATATTTTATGTTTAGATATTTCTATTTTGCGGGAGTCCCGTGAATCATTTTATGTGTGCGCAACCCGCACACACACAAGCGTCTACCCGCCCGCACCAGCACTCGCCCATTTTGTCCTGCGCCGCACTAAGCTGCATCGGGTCTCGCGGGAGCAGGTCTCTAATCCACTGGCACTTGACTCGACAGTGCGTGTGCTACATCCTTTTTACAACCTCTAGATTATAAAACACTGCATTCTGTCAGCAATGTAACGTGGCAGTAACGTATAGAGACTTCGGCTAGTAACTATACTCTAATTACTATTTTGAAAATTATAACGCGTTAAATTACTCCGTTACTAAAAAAGTAATAAAATTACAGTAACGCGTTACTAAGTAATTTACTAAGTAATACTGCCCAACACTGGTCACACATGATCCTTCAGAAATCATTCTTACATGCTAATTCATAATCAATGATTGAAACAGTTGTGCTGCTTAATTTTTTTTGGAACCTGTGACACTTTTGTCAGGATTTTTTGATGAGTAAAATGTTAAAAAGAACAGAATTTATTTAAAATATAAATCTTTTGTAACAATAGAAGTCTTAAGAAGAATTAAGCAGCACAACTGCTTCCATCATTGATTATGAATTAGCAATGAAGACTGGAGTAATGATACTGAAAATTCAGCTTTGCATCACAGGAATAAATTATATTTTAAAGAAAACCGTAATTTTAAATTGCAATAATATTTCACAATATTACAGTTTTTTCTGTATTTTTGATAAAATAAATACAGCCTTAATGAGTAGACGAAACTTCTTTAAAAAACAATAAAAATCCTACTGATCCCAAAATTTTGAGCGGCAGTGTGTATGTGTGTGTGTGTGTGTGTGTGTGTGTGTGTGAGTTAAGAATATGCCACTAACACTGTGGTGTAAACGTGGCACTAACATATTTATGGTGTGAAAGTAAACGTAAACAGTGAGGGATGTGTTACATACCAAAAATGTATATGACCAATGGAAGGAGTTATGCTTATCTTTTTTTATTAGCAAGTAGCTATGTCAAGTATCCGGAATATTCCTGCATTAACTTGGCTGTCTAAACATTGCCCATTTACAACCATTTTTACAACCAAGAACCTACCTATTATATTCCAGTATAGCATTAACGTTCAACTTTCCGCTTTCTAATTCAAAAAAGCTATTTTTTTACCTACTACTGTATGCAGTTTTCATCAGCCATCATCCTCAGAACGTGGTTTCTAACATTATGGCAGACACATTGGAGCTTTCTTGACCCCTGATTTGGTGAAGGAAATTCTTCCTCCATGAGATCAAAGCCAATGTATCAGAAGCCAGAGGGCAGATCAATTATCTGAGCACTTTCCACTGTCCAGCTTGTTACGATCAGATGTTCAGACAAAACTGGCTCTTTTCAGGGGCCAGAGGGGAGGGGAGTAATCAAATAGCTCTCTATTTTTTTCTTCCTCTGCCGAGTCTCTTGCACATTGACAAATGTCACCCTGTAAAAAATCCAGCACTGGTCCTCTGAAAACCCAGCAGTTGTGCTGGACGGGAACTCCTGAGGCACGTTGCCACCCGATTCCTACTTGACAACGGGGGAGAACAAACAGGTGTGCAGCTGAGGAAGACAGGTATACTGGAAAAGGGAGATTATAGGAGAAGCCACACATGCCGACCAAACGCCTTGACCATGATTACATAACAGACGACTGGAAAAGAAAAAAAAAAACACGTCCTTGAGTAGCCGAGCCAACCGACTTCAGAGGAGAACAGAGTGCTTATGCTTGCTCTTTGTGTGATAAGAAATGGTATGGAGGCCGAGTCATTAAAACTGTGTGAGATAAGAGAGAGCTCATTCAGACGGGCCGACCCTTCTGATTAAGAGGCTAATTCACTAGATGTCAGTCAAACCTGGAAGGAGAATGCTTTACCACTCACTAAAAACAAGACAAAGTCCTTGAACAATAAAAGCCTTTTCTTCAATAACTATTCCTAATCAAAATCCTTTAACCACAAAAATTCCAATACAATACATTTTGCTGGAGGGCAATATTAACATTACTCTAAATTCATGAATGATTTCAAGTATAAAGTTCTAAAAATTCAGCACAGGAGCAGGCTGAACTAGAAATGGGCCTATGAAAACAACTGGCTTCAAAATTAGTGACTGTAAAAAGAGAGAGAAAAAAAAAAAAAAAGTCAACAGATTT